ACTCATGTGTCCCCGTTCCCCTGAGGGACACGGAGCCGACATGTTCGTACCTGGACCAGCCTCCATTGTGAACTGAATACAACGAGACGCCGCCGCCAATTGCGCCAGGATACTGCACATATGAAAATCTGCAGGGTACTTTCGATCCCCCCAAGTCATCATCTGATAAGAAACACAAAGGGCGACTAATCAGAATGCCAGCGGCGAACGATCCATCCCAGACAATCGCATTTCGACAGCATTTCGGTCAACTAAAATGCACTCATCAAACTCAGAAGCGGACGTCGTAAATCCACTGAGTAAATCCGTTCATCCCTTCGCCGTGGATTAACACAGCCAATTCCACACTGTCGAAAATGCTGAAATGGAGTCTGATGATTAGATTACGACATCTACTATTTTATGACTTCGTTTGCATGAAACATTTGTCAGAAACTTGCATATTCCTCGAAATATTTTGCATGTTGCACTCGAGTAACGCTCGCAAACATCGCCATCATGAAGATCTGGTTCAGATATGTGAATGATTATCAAATTGATAATAAGTATCGCTTTCTTCGACTTTTCTTTAAACGTTTGTGAATCAATAACACTCTACTGAGCTCATTATTTGGTTAACGGTTTGTGAAGAAAAGAAATGAAAGAAAAATATATCTCTAATTGAAAACAGATAATGGAAAGTGGGTTTCACATAGACAAAATTTGACTGCGGCTTACCTTGATCAACAGGTTCTTAATCTTAATGGTACCTTGCATCGTAGAATATCATGAGAGCTGTGCTCAGTGAAAAGTATTTATTCAAATTGTGGCAAGATATGCCTCACGGCAGGGTGCTCTTGGCAAGTTAAAAGTTTAAACATCTTCCGCCGGACTCTTCCTAAAAGTTTAAGATTAAGATGGAAACTAATCAATGAATTGATGATTTTACAAATAATAAAATGTCTTCAGTGTCAGCATTTGGCTGAGCAACGGATTCTTGATATAAACTCCATTAACTTGGGATTTACAAGTTCTTTACAACGCGATAGACTTTAAAGATAATGCTAAATTGTATGCACAGTGTCTACACAACATGTGAAGGGGCAGACTAATAATTTCCAGTAGGATAATCTAAGATAAAGAAGCAGGTGTCAACATCGCGCAACTCCACATCAACTTTGTAACACCTGTTACGGGTCTAAGGTGCAACCCATATTTACACGGGCATCACAGATAAGCCAATCATGTTATCGGAACAGTGGAAGATGAAAGGTAAATGACAAGTGACCATCGGCATCATGATATCCTAAATGATGTGAAACAAACAAACGATAAACAATGTTTGGAAAATTGGTAAGACGCTAAAATATGCGTCGATGCGTCTGACATTGCGCAAAATGTGCGGCGACGAGGAACGGCATAAATAAATGAGGAAAGTATTACAACTATAGTCCTATAAACACAATAGCCTGGTTCGAATGCAATGAGGTTTCCTTACCCCTCATAGTTTCAGGTCGGTCAGTGAAGCGCACTGAATGGCCTTGCGCGTGACTCGCGAGACAGAGACAGCAGAAACGAGACGGTGACGGTAGCAGA